GGGTGATGATGGGGTAGCGATTGGGACGCCCTTGAGTGTTATCAGGAATTGGGGTAAAATGAACAAGATTGACCAGGTATAGTTACTAAAATGCTATTGATTTAATTATAACGAGAAGGGCTGGTGGAGAAATTTTGACTCTGTTTGGCTCTTGGAAAATTGGAATTTCAGAAAATTGAGTTTCTACGGTTTGCTTGCTGATATAATCTTTCATGGTTAATGGACTCTAGGTTGTGGCCATTGTCAAAACCTGTACCCCTAATGGTCTTGGCGATTTCATGGTAACCCTGAAGGTAAAATTACTAACATTCAAAGATGGCTGTCAGTGAAGTCTGAACTTTCTCTTGTCTGTATTTGGGTTCAATATTCTCCATTCATGATTGCAAATGTGTTTTGATATAAGGATCCAACGGGAACCATAGATGGTAGCATCCATCACAGAGTGTTTACCGAGAGTGAATTTGGAAGGGACGTATGTGTTGGTGCAGTGTTGATTCTACAAAAGGTTTGTGGGGAACATTTTCACTCTATGAATTGGCACAGATTATTGTTTTGTCATAAATCTTTGAGCAGCCTCGGGGGAATGATTGATCGATCGATTTAATCATCGTATTTTCAGGTTGCAGTTTTTGCTCCTTCGCGCACAGCACGGTATCTCAATATGACACTCAACACCATAGTCAAGGTATTGGCATTTTTTATTTTGTTTATAAATTAGAATTGCCATATCAAAATTTTTTGTTGCTTCTTTCTTTCTGAAGCATTTGAAAAAAGGATTTTGATATTTTGGGACCTTTCGTTTATGGACTTTGAATCTGCTAAGTGATTTTCTCTGCATGTAGGAAAGTCTTGATATTATAAAAGAAATCAGAAAATAGTTCACTAAATTGTTCTGAAAAAGAAAACGCGGATTGAATTGAATTATGGCTAAATCATATGAGGGGAACTTGTAATGTACTTTATATTTGTTGGATTATTGCTTATTTTACTTTTAAAGAATTTGCAATTATCTATATTTCAGGTCATCTCAAAGGATAGTGGAACTCTGCTAAAACAGAATAATCCTACATCTCCTGTTGTTGGTGGGTGACAATGTAGAATTTCGTCTGTCTACATTAAGATTTCTGTTTCCTATGTGGCCATTAGATTATTTCACCAGTTCTATTATAACTTGATCACTGTTCTGGCCACTAATCTCCTTCTACTGTAACAGAAAATCAGAAACAGGCAATGATGCGAGAGAAAGCACCGGGAGGTACTCAAGGAATCATGGATAACCTCAGACAAAATGCCCAGGTGAGATGGAGGACTCAAACTCATGTGGATAAAGAAGTAAAAGGGGGAGATTCAGCATTCAGAATCAGCTGCCAGAGTGATGAGAGTAGAAGAAACCAAAGTGAAAAACAGAGCAATCATTTGGTGAGGCAAAATGCTGGTGAGGTAATGAGAGGCAGAGAAACCAGAACCAGTACTACTAATGAGGATCAACATGTCTTAGTTTGTGAGCAAGCCTTCCCACTTATTCAGAGTAACAGAGGCACTCAGTTGGACAGTATTCGGAGCAGTAATCCTGCAACAAATTTTTTCGGAAACCCTGACAAAGAAAATGAGAATATCTTTGGCGAAGATAATGAGAATATTAACATTGTTATGAAGCAAAAGAAGCAGCCGGTAATATCAAAAGGTTCACTCCCAAAGTGGACTGACGACCAGCTGAATGAACTGCTGGAATTTGTTTGAGGTGGTGATGGTGTCTGGAATGATATTCGGCTTTTTTGTTGCACTAGGGAGTTGCAGCATGTAAATGGATTCTTCTTTTGAAGGCAAATTACAGTAACATCAAGAGTTTGGGAAAAACTACTGCTTCCATTATTTATTTTGTGAAAGAGTTTGCCAAATTACAGTAACTTATGGGATACTTTTGTTTTTTCCTCCTCTTGAAATAGTTTCTTTTAACAACTAAATTAACATATTTGGAAGAATTGAGAGAGTTGAGAATTGTTAAAAAGGGGGATAACATGATTTGAGATTCATAGCAAAAAAAAAAAAAAAAAACTTAAAAAGCAATCATTTTGATTTTCAATATAAACAAGTTAGAAGTTGAACGGTTTTAATTTTTGAGCCAAACAAAAATTAATTTCAAAACCAGATTTAAATAAAGAACAGTTCCTCTGAAAACCAGCACCAAATAATGGTTGAAATAAAAATCAGATCTGCCTAAAATGCCTG